GTGTTACTGTCCCCAACAGATAAGGAAACCAGGGCCCAGAAGAGTCATTTTCTCAAGGTCGCATCTAATAAGGGATTTGAGCGCTTGAGCCGGCAGGGCTGGCTCCAGGGCCACGGCTGCACCCTGCCGCTGGGCCCCGGGGGTCCAGCTCGGGTCCAGCTCGAGGCTACAGGCCGGAGGAGCGGCGTCACAGGCCCTCGAGTTCTCACGGCAAGCCTATGTGGCGGGTGGAATCTTCCCACTTTTGCAGATGAGAAATTCCAAGGTCGTGGGACACTAAAATTCTTACTTCACTGAGTTCATAAGAGGCAAATTGAGCCTCACCCGATGCCAAAGGTTGTGACTTTGCCATTTCTACAGCCGGTGAGACTGCCCGGCTCCCGAGGGCCCGGGCCAGGCACACCTGGGAAGCCTGCGCGGCCGCTCGCACGGCAGTGGGGGAAGCAGTGAAGCCCGTCTGTCCCGGGGCTCCTCCGTGACCCCCAAGGCACAGGCCCGATTCCAGCCCGAGCGCCGCTGCCCGCCGACCTCCTCCTAGAGCCTGAGCTACGTTATCTGGGACGGAGCACGTGAGCCAGCAGACAGATCTGCGGGGCCGCCTTTATCTGGGCTTAACTGTCTGCTGGTAAAGAGCAGAGCCCAGACAGATTATGGCGGGGACGGGGACACTCGAGGGTGGGGGCGCTGGCAGGGGAGACACACGCCGAGTGTTCTGGGAGCCGTCAGAGCGTCTGGGTGAGGGACGTCTGGAGCACAGGGTGAAGAGCCCCGAGAGGAGGGGCCCACTGCAAACGCGCGTTCCCCTGCCAAGCCCAGCCCTGCGGCGCCCTGAGCGCTGTCGCTCTCGCTGACAGCCACCAGCGCCCCGATTCCAGCTGGGGCGCTCGCTTCCTGCCTGCTGCACAGGCTGGGCGCCGTCTACACCCGCGTGTCGAGAACCTGAGCGCCTCGAGGCAGGGGACGAGCAGAAACACGTGTAGAGTGCTCGCCATGCAGTGACCGCGAGACAGCCAGTGCCAGCGTTGTGCCACCACGATTGTCACCAGTGACGACTTGTTGTCAGTCTCACTGGCCAATTTTTTTTTTTTGAGTGAAAAATCCACTTTAATAAGCCAGCTTCAGCTCAGCTGAGAACTTCCCCTCACGTGCATAGGGTGGAAGAGAAGTCTTTCCAAGAGGCCTCAATCCACTAAGAGGTTACGACTCAGAGAAGGGAAGAGCTCCAAGAAGCCCTTGAAGAGGGTGAGGGTCTGCAGGACTCCCGTGGTGCAGGCTGTCTCCCGGACAGAGTGCATGGCCAGCTGGGGGCTGCCTAAGTCCAGAACCCGCAGCCCCAGCCGAGAAGCCAAGATAGGTCCGATGGTGGTACCACAGGGGGAGTCATTCCGGACCATGAGATCCTGCGGGGGCACCCCAACATTGTTGGCCACCTCTCAGCATCACTCACGTATCCCCTGCTTGTTCCTCCCTCCCCTCCGCCTCTCCCCTTCGCTGACACAGGACGAGGGTGTCTCAGAGCGCCGTGAGCCCACTCCGCCCGGCCTTGGGGACGGGCCTCCACACACACCGCACAGCTGCCTCGGCTGGGCCCCGCCCGCCCTAGAGCCGGAGGCCCTGCGCTCACCCAGCGGCACTGCTGGCGGGCACACGAGACCCTCGGTACCTGCAGCAGGAGAAGCCACTCTGGTCGTTGAAGGACGAAAGGTGCTCCTGGTTTGGGGGGCGACCGGGGAGCCCCCGAGCCGGCCAGAATAGGCGGCTCCACCCTTTCTCCCGGGTGTCCCGAGGGAGCCTCCGTGGGTGCTGCCTGCGTGACTCCCTGGAGCCCCTGGTGCTCCCGCCCGGCCCACTCCCTCCAGGCCGGGACCTGCCGGACGGCCCACGCCCACCGCGCGTCTCATCTGCGACGGGGAACCCAGTAAACACTTACTGACTCGATGCCCAGAGACTGTGAGAGGGCAAGTGGCTTTCAGGAAGGTGTGGCCACGATACGCAAGGTCAACAGCTGGCCCTGCAGAGTCACTTCTGGGCCGTCCACACGGCGCATCTCGGCGCAAGGGAGCTCCTTGGCTGGAAAGGCCTTCCCTTCTCCCTCACGGCAGCCTCTCAAGAGCGGCCTGGGGGGCCTGTGCCAGTTAGCCATCGCCACGAACAGCTGCAAACCCGGCGGCCCCACTCGGCGTCTGGCTGCTGGCTGGGATGACAGCGGGGACTGAGCCACGCGCCTCATCGCCGGGAGCAGCCCGGGCCTCCGCACACGGTGGCAGCCACGGGGTCTCAGCAGCAGTAAGAGGGATCGGGTCCCCCAGCACAAGTGCTTGGCAGCCTCTGCCTGCTTCGCGGGGGCCAAAGCAAGTCACCTGGCGGCGCCCGGCCTCGGAGGGGGCAGTGCAGGCAGGTGTGGGGCCAGAGAGGGGCAGGCCCACCCCAGGGCCGAGGGAGGCTCCGGGCAGCCCGTCACGCGCGAGCACACTCCTGTCACCACGACGCCCACGGCAAGAGCATCTCTTCCCCGCGTCCGCGGCTTTGGGTAGGTGTTCAGCGGCATGTTCACAGGCGCGCACACGAACAAGCACCCGGTGCGTGAAAAGTAGGAACGCGGGAACGAGCGGGTAAGGGGTGAGAGAGAGTGAGCCAGTGCCTGCGACACTCAAAGTGCCTAAACGATGGGAGGCCCTCAGGCCTGGGGCAAGATTCTGGCCCTTTGAGAAGAAACGTAAGAAAGACGTACAGCTCTTTAAGACGCAAAGTCGTTAAAGAACAAGAAGCTTATGGGCACGGTGAGAAAAAATTGAACTAAGAATCAAAAGCCCCAAGTCTTCAAAGTTTGCACTTTGTCTGATCATGATGTAATTCATTTCCTCACTTTTTCATTTCAACAATCATTTATACTGAGTTTCCACTCTGTGCCAGGCACTGGCAGTAAACTCGAGATGTTGCCAGTCGGAAGCTGCTCTAAATGAGGGTCCCCTCTGCAACGTGGGGGGAAAGCACCCCTCAGGTTGCCACCGCCAGGCCCCCTCCCTAATCCTCCAGGGCGCCCGCGGCTGGGAGCTGATGGGGACTTGGTCCAGGGCTGGCTTTCTGGATTGACAGGTGGGGGCCTGTCCCCTGCGACCTCTCAGCTCCCTCTCACCTCTTAGCCCCAGGATAAGGCCCGGAACCGTGATAAGCTCCGGATGATGTCATCCAGCACTGCCCACAGTCCCGTGCCCTGGAGAAAGCAGATACCTGCTGACGGCCCCCAGGAGAAACAGAACAGGCCAGGATCTGCAGAGCATGACCAGAACAGAGCGCCTCGGCCACGCACAGACCTCGCCTCCCCAGTCTGCTATCCAGCCGGCCCCCATCAGAGTCCGGCTTCCCAAGTAAAGACAAACACCTGGCTGAGCTCGGGGCTCTGGGAGCAGGTGGCCGTGCAGCCGCCAACGGAGCCTGTCGGCTCTCGGCACAGAGTGGAGACAAATGCAGAACGTCACACACCTCCCGAGATCTCAGAGTCGCCCCGAGCCCACTGGCTTCACCAGGACGAGGACGGGGCGCACTCGGCTTCCCTTTCCCCCCCGCAAATCTTTCTGGGCACCCACATCCTCACCTCCTTCTACACTCAACTAGGGGCTTGTCCCCCACCTTCTCTTCAGCCTTTCCTTCCCCCAGCCCCTCCCCCCTCCGCCTGCCGCCGTTCCAGACCCTGCCCCGATGGCTGCCATCGTGTCAACAGCATGGGCACTGTCAACCCTCCTTCCCGGCGCTCTCTCCCAAGCCGGCATCTCTTCCTGCCCGACCCTCAGCCACCCAGGCTCAGACTGGGAGATTCGGCGTGGACGGCATCACACGCTCAGGCTAGGAGAGCTCAGCGCCGCCCCATGAGGACCCCTGCCCCATCCCGAGCACCCGCACGAGCAGGTGCCAGCGTCCACCTGTCGCCCTCTGCAGTATCTTGTGGACCACCCTCCCCCTCGTGCCTGTGAGCACCAGCTTCCTTGCCGCTTCTCAGGACTATGGTCAGGAGCTTCGGGCCCGATTTTCTCTGCCTTCCCCTCTTTTTAAACCAAGAGCCCATTTCAGGCCAAGCTTTGCACGTCTCTGTATTTGACTCTTACTCTCCCCGGAAGGGGCCACCTCTGTCCTGTCGTAGCCCACACCCAGCCATCAAAGTGGCGCAATGCAACCTCCTCTAGGAATCCTCTTGTCTCCCACCTGGCCCCACGCAGCCCCTGCCTCCCCGGAGCTGGCCGCGGCTCACTACCCTCTGGAGACCTGCAGCGCCACCTCCGTCCCTGTCCCAGCTCGGGTAGCTCTTTGTCTCACACGCTGTGTCCTAGGTGCTCGTGTATATTCCTGCCTCCCTACTGACAGAGTCCTGGAGAGATGGAACTCACCCCTCGTATCGCCACACCCGCCACAGAACTTCGGATAGGTCTGTGGGACGAGCGGGCGAACGAAGGAAGCCCCAGCGTTCACAGACGGCAGTCACGGGGCACACACAGCTCTCCGGGCAGGAACCTTGGGACCCTTGCCCAGAAGCAGTCTGGCATAAAAGCATCACTCGAATTATTTGCCAGGGCTGTATCTCTTGACAGCAGTCCACAGCCACCTCTTTAATGAGATTAGAGTCTGTCGTATTGGGCGAAATTCCTTCAGCAGCCCTACCTTCACCCCGGCCCCCAAGCGAGGATGATGGAAAGCCGTGCTTCTCCCTTGTTCCCGCCCGCAACTGAGCAGGGCCCCCCACCCCCCTGGCCTGGCCACCCCGCCCCCACGCCAACTCAGCCAGAGCTCATGTCTTTAGCCTAATTCATTTTCTAGATAGATGGAGCAAATACCTAGCGAATATTATTTATGACTTTGTGATAAATAAGCCTTTTACAGAAGTGATTCAAGGAGTTCTGGGGAATTTCAAGGATAACTTTCAGCAAGTTTCAAAGGTCGGGTCAGCCTGGGACACTGAGCCCGCAGTGCTAGCCGTGCCATCATCTGTTTTGAATTATTGGTCTTACCCAGCTTCGGCTCTCGATGGACGAGCTGTGCCTCAGCTCTCTGGCTGTATTTCATTCTCATCGTGGGCTAGGAGCTTTAATGATTATTTGTGCTAGACTGACAGTGGGGACAGAAAAAAAAAAAAAAAAAGAGAGATCTTAGTGAAATTCAAGCCCCAGCAGATGTGCTGGGAAAGATGGCTCTACTTGCCCAGACACCCCTGCCCGTCTGCCCACGGCCCCGCACACGGAGCTGCGGCTGGGGCTGCCCCTCCGTGCAGATGAGAGCAGGCACCATGCTGAGCCGGCAGCACAGAGTCAAGGTCACGAAGGGCAGGGCTTTCCCAGAGGAGCCGTGGGCCCTTTCCTGGTGTACAAATGCACATCTGATCCTGTGCAGACACTGCAAACGTGGCTTCTCGAGAGCAGAGACTGTGCTCCACTCAGCACCACGACTTCAGAATCCAGCGCTGCACTGGCACATAGTAGGTGCTCAATAAATATGGATTCGATTAGACTGCATTGGATTGGATTGAATCAAATCAAATCAAATCAAACCAGGTTCTTTTTCCCTCCAATCTGTGGTTTCCTTCCACAGAAACTTTTCTGGGTTTTTTTTAAAAAAATGTTCTCCTTTTTCCTTTTGCTTTTGTTTGGTTTTGTTTTGTTTTTTTGGTAGGGTTTTTTTTGTTTTTTGGTGTTTTTTTTTTCTCTATTTTGGTTAGTTTCTTTATTTTGGTCGTTTGGATTTGATTTTGACTTACCCTCAGAATGGATTTGCTTGAGGCAAAAGTTTAACTTAGAATGTAAAGGGTCTTTCCAGATCCAGACATTTCTCCCCAGATGATTCTGCAAAATCTATTTCCCATTCCTGAAACCTAAGACTGTCAGCCCATTATTTCAGAAATAATGTGTGGAATAGAGAGTCAAAGATCCTCTCGTCGTACAGTCTTTTAAAATAGTAAAACTGGTACTCCCTTGTTATACCCTTGAAAATGGCTTTTCCCCAGCCTGGTCAACTCGTTTGCAACTCTGTCGCAGATTGCACCAGGCACACAAGGGCTCTTAAAAAAAAAACAACTTGGTAGAGTCAATGAATTGAATGCAGAAAGCCTGGATTTGTTCACCTCTTTTGCTGTTTGTTTTTAACTCGGGAAGGTAGAAAAATGTCTCCTCCTGTGAGAAATCAATCAAGGGTTCTCTTTGTCTTAACACTAAGGCATATTCTGCTAGTCCCCTTCTTATAAACATCTGTCCCTCTCACTTCACATGATAAATAAAGCCTGAAAAAAATGCCGCCTTGGTAATTTTGTTTAATCAAATTACGTTTAAATGTACGAGTGGACAGTTGAAGGAACATTTCCTGCAATATAAACAACTCTCTAATTCACCTACCTGTCCAGTCGGAGCCTTTCAAACTGGGCTTGCTCAAGGAAATTTCATCTCTTCCCTGCTCTTCTTTTAGGACAGACAGTAGCGGTGGGGGGTTGGGTGCAGTCTCCCTCCCTAGACCCGGAGACCAGGACCCAGGCCCAGCCAGAGTTGCATATGGGCCCAAACATGAGCCCTGCTCCCAAAGGGAGGTTTAAAAAGAAAGCGCTGAGACCACCAGTCCTCACAAGGCCATTAAACCGTGAGGGAGGGCCCAGGCAGAGGGGCGATGGGGTGGAGTAGCAGGGAAGAGAAAACAGGAAACAGTACACCCACTGGGCAAGAGAAATTGAAACCCCATGACAACGCCCTTTGATGCCGCTGCTTCTACCCGCTCAGCTTTCAGCTCAGTGTTGGGCCGGTTACAGGAAAAGTGCAGGGACCAGGCCAAGAAGTTCCCTGGCTTGTTTTCCTGGTGACCTTTGGATTCCTATCGGCCCTCCAGCCTCCGGGTGGGAGCCCTGGCTCATAACCTACTGTTGGTAAAGATGTCCTCCTGCCCTCCCGAGCACCACCCACCCTCCTCCCCTCTCTCTGGAACCCTTCAATACTCGATTCCGCACGGGGAGGGGGTGTGGGGCTGCCGCTACGGTGAAGGAGGAGGAGAAGCGTCCTTCTGTAACAGTAAAAAGGAGAAAACGAAGACTTTCCCCTGTCCTTCAAAGCACGTGGGCAGCCGCGTGGCCACGCCGGTGTCGGGCAGGGTCACATGTGCCCGTCTCTGCGCCACCTCCTCCCAGGCCGCCGCGGGCCGCTGCGCACACGCTCAGCTCCTGCTTCTGCCTCCTCTCTGGCAAGCCCCTCTCTCTTCAGCACCACCCCTGGGACAGGGCTTTGGGGACAAAACCCTCGTCGTTGTCGTTTGCCCTAGTCAACCATGGCTGTGTGACAAGCCCCTCCCTTAGCAGGCTCAGGCCGCACTGCAGCATGGTCCCTTGGCCGGGTCAGCTCGGCAGTCCCCGCCTGGGGCCCTAGTGGGCTATGAACAGATGGATGGAGGCCAGGGCGGGAGTCACCTCAAGGCTGGACTAGACCGGACGTCCAAGCTGGGCCACGCACGTGGCCGATGGCACCGTCTGCAGGCCGGCTGCGGCTGCTGGCCAGAAAGACACCTCCACGTGGCTTCTCCGGGCCCCTCACAGAGCGGTGGCCAGGTCCCAAGAGGGGGTGTCCCGAGAAACTGCGAAGGAGCTTCTGAAGCCCCTGAAAGTCACTTCCCCCACATGCTGCAGTTCAGGCAGGCCGCAAGGCCAGCCCCATTCCAGGGCAGGGAGTGGGACTCTGCGCTTGGCGTCTTGGCGGGAGGGAGGGGTGTGGGTACAGGAGGAGCACTGGCACAGGCGCGCTTGGAGACTTGATCTCGCCGCCCGACCACGTTCTCTTCTCACTCTGAGGCTCTGACGCTGTGTTGTGCGTCTCTAACCCTGTGCTGGCTCTAGTCCCCGCTCCTCAAACTCTCGAGCCCCCAGTTAATGCCAAAGAGAGATTTGCCGGCTTTCCTAGTAGCGCCAGTCTTGCATGGAGCACACAGTAGGTTTTGACCCAGAGAACAGACGCCTGAAAAATCACTTGGGAGCTTTTTTGTCATTGTTGTGTCCGGGTTTTTAAAACAGAGAAAGTCTATGGAACTCAACTTTGTCACACACTCCGGAAATTTCCAGGTGTTCTCCCAGTATGCTTTTTGTTGTTGTTTGTTTAAGAAAACAGAATTGGAAACCAAACAGCAAACTGCCTTCTAATGTCCTCCTCTGGACTTCTGTTTCAGAGTGAAAAGTAGTCAAAAGAAAGGAGAAAGAGGCAGGAAGGGAAAGGTGAAAACTTGACTAATAAAATAATGAACCTTGAGCGTTGGAATAATTCTACAACCTTTCTGTTTGAAAGGAAAGTGGATCTTCTGAAGCATCTAAGCTCTGCAGAGAGCAAGAGAATGCCACACTGAGAATCCTCCCCCGCCGGCAGCCGAGGGCCGGGCCGTGGGCTGCCTGTTCACTGCTCCCCTCCGCCTGCTCCGAGCTCCTTCCTGAACCATCCAGGGCCACGTCTGCTCTGAGGGTCCCTCTCCCCTCGGGAATCACTGCCCCACTCTCCACTGCGGAGGAGCAGGGCTGCAGAACCTACCAGAGCTGCCACCAGCACGGAGACCCCCCTGCCCTACTCCCAGGCCCTGTGCATTCATGAGGCTACAGATGGTTTGTGTGAGGCCACTTCCAGTTTCTTGCAGGATTATACAGCACTCAAGGGAGCCAGGGAGGCAGAGGAAGACATTGCTATTTGTATTTTACGCTCATATAATTTTTAAAATTATCTCCCAGAAGATTGGGGGAAAAGATGGGGAGTTTCACAAGCTGGGGTCTGAGCTATTTTACCACCTGCAAACTCAGGGCTCATCTCCTCAGCTGGGAAATGAGACATTTCTGCTGTTAAGGCCTAATCATCTCAGGGGTCTCTTTTGGCCCCAGATCTTCCCTCAGGAGGACCAAGGGTAGGACAGGCTGATGAGGCAGAACAGCCCGGTCCCAGGGCTGCGCAGAAGGGCAGTTCCTCTGCCAGGGCACACCCTAACTTTCTGCCCTTCGAAGCCACTCATTTGGCCTCTTCTGGGCAGCTGAGAAGAGGAAGAGTTTGCAAACCTGCCACCGTGGAGAAAAACCCGCAAGTTGTTTTGCTAAAAGCAAGGAACTGGGAGGGTGGTGGGAGTAGGGCCTTCTCTCCCGCTCTGGAGGTCTCTGTAGTCTCTAGCTCTTAATCATCAGATGGGACAGGAGGAAGGGTGGGGGGAGGGGCAGGGAAGAAAAATCCTCAGCAACAACCAAAGAAAAGGAGCCAGCCTCACACTCAGGTCCTCTGGGACCGAGAACTCTATTCAGAGTTTTCAGAAAATAGGGTCAGGTATGTCTTGCGACCTGAGACCCCAAAGCCCCTCTGTTCTCCGTCATTACCTAACACAGCACTCTCCCTGCCCAGCACAATGAAACAATCCGTCACTTCAATTATCTGTCCGTCAGCACTGAGGCCTTTTCAGCGGGCCAGCACATGTGTCTGGAGAGCTTGTCAGCGAGGCTGTCTAGCCGGGGCCATAACCATGGAAAATGGAACCTTTGTTAATTCTGGGTCTTAGAAAAGTAAATCCATTCAGTTTCTCCCCTCTCACTCCCTCTTCTTTTCTAAATGCCTTCAGTTTGGAATTTGCACAAGGAACTGAATTGGTCCTGCTCTGAACCTTAAATGACTGGCCAAAGGATTTGCATGAGGAAGCAGAAATTAATTATTCTTTTCGGGGCTTTTCCCCCCTCCTTTTCTGTAATTCTGTGTTAGGAGCAAGATTACACCCTGCGTTACCAGCTACCAGCGCAGGGGTGGGGAGGGGCTGGGAGTGGGGTCGGGGCAGCGAGAGGCTCACTCTGGGTCAGCAGCTCCTGAGTTGGCCCAGCCAGCGGGCCCCTGCTTCCCTCCCTCTCCTGTGGGAGGGGCACCCCGTGCTGCCACCAAGAGGAAGGCAGGACCCCCTGTGGCGCCCTGCCCCAAGGAAGCTCCCCTGGGGGGCCGGGTGCTGACAGTTCTCCACTTGGAGAAATAAAGAAAAAGGAAATAGATCACCCTTCCAAGCCAACCCTCATTTTCACTTCCAGACACAGAACTGCTAAGGCTGTTAGTAGAGACTGCAGAGGACAGGGCCTCCTCCCTGGGGGGGGGGGAGCAGGGACCTCCACCCCAGGAATCACGGAGGGCGATTTCCCAGGGCAGCCTCACTGTAACGCCCCAGCCCACTCTCAGACCGTGCAAGGGGGAGCAGGGACCTCCACCCCAGGAATCACCGACTGTGATTTCCCAGGGCAGCCTCACTGTAACGCCCCAGCCCACTCTCAGACCATGCAAGGGGGAGCAGGGACCTCCACCCCAGGAATCACCGAGGGCGATTTCCCAGGGCAGCCTCACTGTAACGCCCCAGCCCACTCTCAGACCGTGCAAGGCGGCCTGTCCCCACTCTGGGCTGAGAACACGAGGTTGCTGAAGACAGTGCCAGTCACAACGCCCAAGATCCCCCCCCACTCCCAAGGGTCCTCACACAGGCTATGGAGGTGGGGGCTGGGGGCCACCGGACACCCGCTGGTAGGATTATATTTTGCACTTCATAGCGCATTGTTTCCATAGTGATTTTTTTAATACGGTGGCCTAAAACAAACAAACAGTTACCAAGTTTTAAAATTTACATCCATGACTTCGCATATGCTGGGCAGTTTTATCCCACGTTGGACACTTGCAAATCCACCCCCAACCCCCCCCCCACCTCGAGAGCCTGTCTCCTCCTGCAGGCCCACGTGGTGCCCCCAGCCCAGGCCAGGAGTCAGAGTCCAGCACTTTCCACACCGGGCAGGGTTTCCTTCCCCTCCTTCCAGCCCCAGGACCAGCACCACGAAAGAACATACCGGGTGTCTCCCAGGAGTTGGAATTGTCCCCAGGATATGTGGGGAGACAGGCCCCTAAAGAGTTCAAGCCAAACGCTGCCTTGTCTGCACAGGTGCACCCCGACTTCTCATCTGAGGGGATCACTCCCATTCCTTCTTTCCGCCTCACTTTCTTCCCCTCTCCTCCTTTCTTCTGCTTTCTCCCCACCTACTTCCTTTCCCACTCCCTTTCCTCCTCACACCCTTCCCTATAATGTGTGGCTTTTTTTCTCTTTTTCCCCTTTTGAGCTCAAAGAATTTCACAGTCACCCCTATAGTGTTGAGGTGTACAAAGAGAAAAATCACCTTTGTTTCTCCACTGTACAGGTAAGAAAGCGGAAACCAGAGAGTGGGGTCTTCCATCTCGCCATTGCCCGGTCAAGAAGAAATGTACATCCACCAGGTAGACTTGGTCCCCGCCTCCAGTTCAGTCCAGAACAGACTGTTCTCTTCTCTGCTTGACTTGGGTGGCAGGGTTCCCCTGAGGGAACCTGGCAACTGACCCACATACCGTCTAAGAGGTGACTGGGTTTTTTTTTTCTCCCAAGCTGCAAGGAGAGCCTGTCTTTAGCTCTCGAGGAAAAATCCATCACCGGAAAGGGGAAGAAAAAGGCCTTTCTGAACAAATAATCTGGAAGTTAACTTGGCCCTACAAAATGACCACTCGCTTTGAGAAGCTACATATTTACCTCAAATGAATTAACAATTAGTAAAATGCATTTGGAATGTTTTCAGGGGAAAAAAAAATATATATAAGAGCAGTGCGAAAACATCCCATGCGTTACTTCC